CCTAAAGAATACATCAAGATAATCATATTCTGGATCCTCTGGGGCTTTCATACCTGTGCGGACATTTGTGCTGCGATCCTGCTGGCCCCTCCCAAAGCAGATGCTCCCTGCACTGCACCTGTGTACAGCCCTGGGTGTTCCTGCCCTCCAGGAGCATGCTTGAGGTATAGGTGTATGTGGGTGCCTGAGTCAAGATTTAGAGACCTACGGGCTATAAAGCTGTAATTCACCACTCTTTCTGTGTTCTAAGCTGTTAAGGGCTGAGTTGGGTCCACCAAAATTTATATATTATAGTCCTAGTCCCCAGGGTCTCAGAATACGATGTCGTTTGAATACTGGATCTTTTTTTTTTTTTTTTTTTTTTGAGACTGAGTTTCGCTCTTGTTACCCAGGCTGGGGTGCAATGGCGCGATCTCGGCTCACCACAACCTCCGCCTCCTGGGTTCAGGCCATTCTCCTGCCTCAGCCTCCCGAGTAGCTGGGATTACAGGCATGCACCACCATGCCCAGGTAATTTTTTGTATTTTTAGTAGAGACGGGGTTTCACCACTTTGACCAGGATGGTCTCGATCTCTTGACCTCATGATCCACCCACCTCGGCCTCCTAAAGTGCTGGGATTACAGGCGTGAGCCACCGCGCCCGGCCTGAATACTGGATCTTTAAAAGGGTGCTAAGGGGCTGGATGTGGTGGTTAATTCCTCTAATTCCAGCACTTTAGAGGCCAAAGTAGGAGGATTGCTTGAAGCCAGGAGTTTGAGACCGGCCTGGGCAACATAGTGAGACCTGTCTCTTAAAAAAATATATATATATTTTTTTAATTAGCTGGGCATGATGATGTGCACCTGTAGTCCCAGCTACTTAAGAGGCTGAGGCAGGAGGATCACTTGAACCTGGGAGATCAAGGCAACAGTGAGCTATGATGATGGCACTGCACTCCAGGCTGGACAACAGAGCAGTATCCTGTCTCAGATAAATAACCAGCACTTTGGGAGGCCCAGGCAGGAGGATTGCTTGAACCCAGTAGTTTGGGACAAGCCTAAGCAATATAGCGAGACCTCATCTCTATAAAAATAAAGAAAGAAAAGAAAAATAAAAGAGTGTTAAGGTAAAACGAAGTTATATGGGTAAGCCCTAATCCAATATGATTGGTGGGGTGGTTTTTTTTTGTTTTTGTGAGACAGTCTTACTCTGTCACCCAGGATGAAGTGCAGTAGCGTGATTTCGGCTCACTGTAGCCTCCACCTCCTGGGTTCAAGCAGTTCTCATTCCTCAGGCTCCTGAGTAGCTGGGACTATAGGCATGTGCCATCACCCCTGGCTAATTTTTGCGTTTTTGATAGAGATGGGATTTCATCATGTTGGCCAGGTTGATCCTGAACTCCTGACCCCATATGGTCTAACCACAGGCATAAGTCACCATGCCCAGCCTCTAAGGGCCTTTATTGAAGGAAGCCACTTGTTACTGGAGCTCAGAGGACAGACAGCAGAGCAGAGGCAGGTGGAGGCAGGAGCAAGAAGCTTCCAGACCTGCACCAGGCCGCTCAGAAGTAGCCCTGCTGTACTGTGTGTCAGTTAGACCTCTGTGGACCTGTGTAGGTATCATGTCATTTACAGTTGCTCTTTTTGTTCTGAGTTTTGGGTAGTCATTTACAGTTTTTTGGAGCCAGCCAGTAAGACACACAGAAACTCAAAAGTACGTTTTCAATTTTGTCACCCAGCACAGAAGGCTTCTGCAACCCTAATGAGCAAGTAGTCAGTTATGCAGCATACAAATCCAATGCCGATGTCATCCACCTAGAGACAGCGTCAGATCTTGCAGGTGAGGCCCCAAACCATGGAGACCTCCCTCCGTTCAGATGCTAATTGCAGGGCCCAGGTTGTTTTGCTCACTCTTCTGACCCACCAGCTACGATCTCAGATTCTTATGACCAGTTCCTTGGATTAAATTATTTGCTAGAGCGGCTCAAAGAACTCAAACAATGCCAGGCGTGGTGGCTCACGCCTGTAATCCAGCACTTTGGGAGGCTGAAGCAGGTGGATCACTTGAGGTTAGGAGTTCAAGACCAGCCTGACCAACTTTGTGAATCCCCATCTCTACTAAAAATACAAAAATTAGCTGGACATGGTGGTACATACCTGTAATCACAGCTACTTGGGAGGCTGAGGCAGGGGAATTGCTTGTACCCAGAAGGTGGAGGTTGCAGTGAGCCAAGATCACACCACTACACTTCAGCCTGGGAGACAGAGCGAGACTCTGTCTCAAAAAAAAAGAAACAAAAACAAAAGCTTATTTACATGTACTATTTGATTATAAGGGACGCAGATGAAAATTTAAATGCAGCAGCACGTGCGAGAGGGACTCAGTTTCCATTTCCACCCGACTCCCAACCCCCCCCCCCACCCCTCCAGGGACTCCATGTGTTCCTGGAAGCTCTTGGAACCCTCTCCTTTTGGGTTTTTATGGAGGTTTCATTATGTAGGCATGATTGATTAAACCACAGGCCACTGGTGATCAACTTAACCTTCAGCCCCTCTCCCCTTCCTGGAGGTTGGAGGTGGGGCTGAAAGTCCCAACCCTTTAACCCTACCTTGGTCTTTCTGGTGACCAGCCCCACTGAAGCACCTCGGGGGCTACTTGCCATCAGTCAGTGCCTGAGCATACAGAAAGACATCACTTTGGAGATTCCAGGAATTTTAGGAATTATATACTGGGAGGGCCAAAGACCAAATATATATTTCACAATATGAAAGAGCCCAATTTACATATTTCAGGATTCCCTTCTTGTTACAGCTTAAGATTTTTTTATTTTCCTGACTTTTTTCTTTGGGCAGTAGTTTAGGCTGTCTTGTTCCTTTACTCTGCGGTTTTAATTTGAGATGGAGCTGCTGTCACTTTGGGGCTCTTTCCTACAGCTCAGAATTGGCCAGACCACAGAGCTGGGACTATGGAATGGCAAGGAGGTGCCTCAGGTGCCAAATATTAGGTTGGTGCAAAATTAATTGCGGTTTTGTCATTGCAGTGGCAAAACCACAATTACTTTTTTTTTTTTTTTTTTTGAGACGGAGTTTCGCTCTTGTTACCTAGGCTGGAGTGCAATGGCGCGATCTCGGCTCACCACAACCTCCGCCTCCTGGGTTCAGGCAATTTTCCTGCCTCAGCCTCCTGAGTAGCTGGGATTACAGGCAGGCGCCACTATGCCCAGCTAATTTTTTTTTTTTTTTTTTTTTTTGAGACAGAGTTTCGCTCTTGTTACCCAGGCTGGAGTGCAATGGCGCGATCTCGGCTCACCGCAACCTCCGCCTCCTGGGTTCAAGCAATTCTCCTGCCTCAGCCTCCTGAGTAGCTGGGATTACAGGCACGTGCCACCATGCCCAGCTAATTTTTTTTTTTTGTATCTTTAGTAGAGACGGGGTTTCACCATGTTGACCAGGATGGTCTCGATCTCTTGACCTCGTGATCCACCCGCCTCGGCCTCCCAAAGTGCTGGGATTACAGGCTTAAGCCACCGCGCTCGGCCTCAATTACTTCTGTACTAACATAAGGACGTACGCAATCTGGGGGTCAGCGTCAGTGTGGAGTTCTCGGGGAAGTGCTGCCGGCCTGGAGGAGGCTGGTGAGTCTGGGTCCCTGCCAGCCTCGTGGGGACCGACCGCTGTATCTTGCAGGAATTTGCACGCTGGGTGTGCAAGAAGCCGTATCATTTTTGTAGTCTGGGGGCCCTGCGGTGGCAGAATCGACACAATGGGAGGCGCTAGAGGACCCGGGGTGGACTCGGACGCGGGGTCAGGGAACCTGGCATTTATTCATGCCGGACCACCAGTTCATGCTGCCGAGCATGGGAGCCCAGGGGAGAGCTGCAGCCAGAGGGATGTGCACCGGAGCCAATCGGCACGTGAAGTGGGGCGTTATTTGGTTGGGCCTCCGGTAACCCTTTTCCACCTCAGAGTGGCTGGCGGGGTCTTTGCCACCGCAAGTTCCCAGGTCCCCGGCATACCCACATCGCCCCGTGAGGCAGATGAGCAGAGCTGGAAGGGCCGCACAGGAATAACGGGGGTTGGCTAGTCAGGAAATGGGCGGATAACGTGATCCCTGCAGTACTCTGCAGGCGTGTGACTCGCTGCCTGGAACATTTCTTCTAGTACCCACCCCTCCAGAAGGTAGCCCTGGGGTGGGCTTCAAACTCCTTTTATTTAGTGGTCAGGGGACTGCAGAGGGGAGCACACAGGACAAGGCCCCCAACCCCCTATCCCAGCCCTGCATCTTCACGCCCCTCTCATGGACAATAGGGTCTTAGAAAGTGGCAGGGAGGGCCGGGCGCGATGGCTCTCGCTTGTACTCCCAGCACTTGAGGAGGCCGAGGTGGGCAGATCATGAGGTCAGGAGTTCGAGACCAGCCTGACCAACATGGTGAAACCCCATCTCTATTAAAAATACAAAATTAGCCAGGCATGGTGGCAGGCACCTATAATCCCAGCTACTTGGGAGGCCGAGGCAGGAGAATGGCTTGAATCTGGGAGGCAGAGGTTGCGGTGAGCTGAGATCATGCCATTGCACTCTTGCATTCTAGCCTGGGCAACAAGAGCGAAACTCTGTCTCAAAAAAAAAAAAAAGAAGAAGAAGAAGAAGAAAAAAGAAAACGCCAGGGTGCTGGGCATGGACCCCTCAGGCCAGACAAATTGGGAGGGGTCCAAGGAAGCCATAAGAACCTCAAGCCCAGGTTGGGGGATGGACCCTGTGGGAAAAGTGGGCATCTCTGGGCGTTGTCCTGCCTGGATCCTGGACAGGGGTCCAGGTGGTTGCCCAGGCTGCAGTCTTGTGTCTAGGCTAACGCTGTAGGCTGGGAAAGACCCCGTCATCCACCCACCACCCAGTCATCCCCCACAAGACAGAAAGGCCAACCCACATTGGTGTTGTAACACCCCAGGACCGAGTCTCCAGGCCAGCCAGAGCCTGGTACTTGACCCTACAGGGTTATAACCCATCCTTTCTGCTTCTCCAGGCCAAAAGCCAAGGAGCCCTCAGTGACCGTGGGATCCACGACACCTCCACTTCACTGTCCCTACACAGCCAGGGCAGCATCAGCACCAGCTCAGACACAAGGTTGGTGTGAAAACCAGCGGGTTGGTGAGCCTGTGGGCCTGCAGATGGGGATGCAGCTGGATCTGGTTGTCCCACCTGCTAGGACCAGCTACAGTGCTGTGGTCTGCAAAGGGCTGGCAGGTGCTTGGCCTATGCTCCCTGTGATGACACAAACTGAACTCATGTCCCCAAAGTGCTTAGCTCTGATGCTTGGTGCCCAGGGACACTAGTGTCTATTAACATGGATGAAGTACACCAGATGCTGTGTGGCCATGGACTTTTGGTCCACCCCAGCTCTGCTGCTCCATGGATGTGTGGATCACACTGACATACCTCAATGTCCTGAACTGTGACTGGGTCCATAAGAACAGCATGCTGTCATAACAGGGATGGGATGGGGGACTGGAAACAGAATACACAGGGTAGAAACATTTTGTCCGTGCTCAGCACGTGGGAAGGCCCATCAGTAGTGGCTCAGCTCTTAGGCATTAGTCACTCTGATGGCCCCTTGTGAGGGGTGTTTATTACACACATTTTCCAGATGGGGAAATGGGGTTGGAGCAGGGTGATGTACCCAAGGCTGCCAGGAGAGGAACTAGCGAAGAAGAAGGACCAGCCAGGGTCCCTATTTCCATTAGGCCCCACGCCAGCCTTGGCCCCAGTGAGCCGTGAGGCAACCCCATCTGCCCCACCTCCTTCCCAGCTCTGTATCTAGAGCCCTGGCCCAAGGGCTTCCTCCACTGACGGGATTTTGCTTCCTTCCTCAGGACGTAACCACCAGACTCCAGCTTCCTGGCCTGGGAGTAGGAGAAATCCACCTGCTGGGGGCTGAGCACAGATTGAAGGACAGGCCCTGGGTCCCGGGATGCCCCTGCCCGAGTCCAACGAGCAGGAGGGTGAGAGTGTGAAGGCTGGCCAGGAGCCATCTCCCAAGCCAGGCACAGACGTCGTCCCTGCAGCAGCAGCCCCAAGGAAGCCCAGAAAGTTCTCCAAACTGGTCCTGCTCACAGCCTCCAAAGACAGTGCCAAGGTGGAGGGGGCCAAGCGCAAGGGCGTGCACTGTGTCATGTCCCTGGGGGTGCCGGGCCCCGCCACTCTTGCCAAGGCCCTCCTCCAGACCCACCCTGAGGCCCAGAGGGCCATCGAGGCACCCCCACAGGAGCCTGAGCAGAAACGAAGCAGGCAGGACCCAGGTGAGGCTCCACAACGCCCCCGCCAGGACAGCTCAGCACCTCCCAGGGTGGCCCGTATAGCCGCGCAGGCTCCCTCAGGCCCTTCTCCCTGTCCTTTGGGTTCCTTGTTCCCTGGCTTTGACTGTGTGTGGGGAGCAGTAGCACAGGGGTTAGGACACAGGCCTGGGCATCCTCCGACTTCCAACCCTGCCTCTGAGCAGCCTGGTCTCTCTGCGTCTGTTCCCCACTTTAGAATGCGCTGCCCACTGGCTTCTTCACGAGGGTGCCTCTGAGGCTGCTGTGGGGCCCACAGGTGGTTGCTGTCAGCTTCAAGGTCTTGGCTCACAGCTGCTCTATGAGCGTCTCCAAGGCCAGGGGTTTGATGGGTCACCTTTCCATATGTTCTAGATAGCTCCTTTTGTCTCACTCACTGTTCGTTCAGTCACTTAGTAACATCCACTGAATAGCAACTCTGTGCAGGCTGGGCTCTGGAGACTTGAGGCACGCAGGATGAGACCCCAAGCAGACCAAGGCTGTAACCTCAGCCTAGCTCCCCGGGACTGCCGCTACCCTACTTGCCTCTTCTACCCAAGCAGTCACCCCCCGCAAGCTGTATCTCCAGGGAGATATAGCTTGGGGCTCACCGAGATATAGATCAGTCCTGTGGGGGAGTAGGGCTGGTGGTGTAGCCTTAGCTGCTGCGGGCTGGCTGGAGGTGACGGGGCAGGATCATTCCCTCTGCTTTACTGTGGGAGTGATGGGATGGATGGACTGAGTGTCTTTACACCCCACTCCCACTCCCTGGGGCCCTTGGCTCTGCCCCTGCTATGTACTAGACCTTTCTCTCAGCTAGACTTGGGGGATACAGCCAGGTGGGGCATGGTAGCAGAGACAGGGTGAGAACAGGGCTGCCCCTTTCCCTGCACCCAGCTCTCCCTGGGGTGGCCCAGGTCCTGTGCTGCTGTCCCCTGTAGATGGACAGGCCTCCTACTGGCCCCACAGCAGGTCCTCAGGACCAGAGGTCTGCCTCTGGGCTCTGCTAGAGCAGGGAGCGGTGGGGTCAGGAATCTGGGTAGCAGAGGAAATGGGCTGGGTGCACCTTTTGAGTTGGAAGTTCCAGAGAGATGGGGCAGAGGGCTGTGCATTGGGTGGGAAGATGAGCTGGGGTTTCTTCCTGACTGGGAGTGGGCTCTGCCATTCCCTGAGAGGAAAAGCAGCCATAGCAGTTGGCCTTGGATTGTGACCTCTGAACAGGTGGCCCCTGGGGTCAGGGAGGGCACTCAGCCTAGCAGCCCATTATAAGAAAAGGGGCCCCTAGGGTTCCTTCAGTTTGCTGGCGGTGCAGGGACCCTGCCTCACTGATGGAAATTGAGGGGTTAGTGGCCTGAGGTCAGAGGGTCACGGTCCCAAAGCTCCCCTGGGGCTGAGACCCCAGAATGCCTGAGAGAGTAGTGTCGGCAGCCACAAGCCTGGAGCTCTCAGGGAACCTAATGGACCCCTTGGCCTCCATCCCCCTACTGGAGTCTCAGGCCTGGTGCAAGCAGTGCTCAGGGACTCAGAGGGACCCTGTCCTCCCAGAGCTGGTGAGAGTGCTTGGCTCTCACTGTGAAGCCCCTACCACCCAGTCCTGCTCTGAGAGCCTCTGCATGTCCCCCTGGCTTCTCCTGCCAAACTGGTGCAGAGGGTGCAGTCCTCTTGGCCTGTGGGAGGCAGGGCTCAGAGGAGTGAAGTCACCACCCTGAGGCCACCAGGAGGTCCCTGTAGAGGGCAGAGGGGGTTGGAGTCTGGCTCAGGGTCTGTTCCCTCTGAGTTCTATGAAATAAGGCCATCTCACAGTCCTCACCCCTTTGAGACTGCTGCTTACTGCTGGGATCCATCCAGGCCAGGGGCCATGGTGCTTTTGTGAGAATTGGAGCACAGCCACCTTCTCCAGATGAAAGTCAGAGTAAGGCTTCCGCAGACAGGCACACTCAGGCATCTACCACCTCCTCCCTGCCAACCCCTCCATCCCGCCATCCCTACCCCAGGTCCGGCAGAGGCGATGGCTGTGGCTTCCAAGTGCTCAGCCCATACTTGGCCTCAAGTTTTCTAGAAATGATTTTAGCAGCCAGGCCACAGGCTCTTCCCTGTTCACAGGGCTTCTGAGACCCAGCTGGTGAATTTTTGCTTTCAACATTTTGTAATTTTTCTTTTGTGGCCCTGGGCTGGTGGCCTTGGAAGCAGTGTCCCTGAGTGGCAGTCACTTTTCAGTTAGGCAGAGGCTTCTGGCTCTGGAATATCTGCTGGCTGGGGTGACAGCAAGGCCCAGTAGACTCCTAACAGTGAGCTCAGCTCTCCCTTCTCCTTTGACACCAGTTTGATCCACCTGCTTCTCTTGCAGGCGCAGGTGGAAAAGAAGACAGTGGATTAGCAGCGGGGCCTCCTGAGGCTGCCGGAGAGAACTCTGTCCTCTGCCCCGTGGTGCCAGGCACATCCTCGTAACCTTGACAACAGGTGCATCCTCCCAGGTCAGCAACTGGGCTACAGGCTCTTCTCTGTACATAGGGCTTCTGGGGCCCAGCTGGTGTATTTTTGCTTTCAACATTGTGTAATTTTTCTTTCTTTTTTTTTTAGATCAAGTATAAATTACTTTTGTAAGCAGAAAAGTAATTTCAAACAAGAATAAAAGAAGCTGTTTGCTAGACCCCATCTTAGGCATATTGTAAACATTCCAAAGTTCTGGGTCCTTTGAGGCTCAGCTCAGATGCCACCACCTCTGGATCTCCCCACCCCAGTCTTAACCGGGCCTTCCCAAAGTGTCCCTTAGTTACTGACCCAAGTCTCGATTCCTCCATGAAGCCTCTCAGACTGAGAGCTAAGGGAGCTCAGCCTTGCTAAGAATGGTAGTTCCAAGATTCTGCTGAGGGAGAGGTGGGCCTGCAACTCATGGGTGGGTTCAGGGAGGAACCTGACAAAAGTGCATGTGGCCTGCCTGTCATGTTCTTTCCAGAGGAAGTGGGGGTGAGGGAACCTGAGTCCCTGCCCCAGACCCCTGGATGCCACCCCTGCAGGAGGGGAGATGAAGAAAGCACAGCTACCTTACATGAGCTGACAAGTCAGCGAGCCTCCAAGAGGCTTCCCATACAGTCCTCATTCTTTGAAAACTGCCTCCGAGCTCAAGGAAACGTTATGGTTTTGTTTGTTTTGAGGTGGAATTTTACTCTTGTGACCCAGGCTGGAGTGCAGTGGTGCAATCTGGACTCTGCAACTACCCAACCACCACCTCCTGGGTTCAAGCGATTCTCCTGCCTCAGCCTCCCAAATATCTGGGATTACAGGCACACGCCACCACACCCCACTAATTTTTGTATTTGTGGTCTTTCTTTCTTTTTTTTTAAGACGGAGTTTCACTCTTGTCGCCCAGGCTGGAGTGCAGTGGTATGATCTTGGCTCACTGCAACCTCCACCTCCAGGGTTCAAGTGATTCTCCTGTCTCAGCCTCCTAAGTAGCTGGGATTATAGGTGCCTGCCACCATGCCTGCCTAATTTTTGTATTTTTAGTGGAGACGGGTTTTCATCATGTTGACCAGGCTGGTCTGGAACTCCTGACCTCAAGTGATCTGCCCACTTCGGCCTCCCAAAGTGCTGGGATTACAGGTGTGAGCCACCGAGCCACACGTTTTTTCATAATGTATTACAAATGTCTTCCCTCACAGCATCGTTTCTGCTGCTTGATGCCCACTGCAGGGATGAGTGAAAGCACCAGCTCCAATGGCCAGACACATCCCCGTTGCTTCCAGGTTGTAAGCAATCCTGAAATAGCCCTGTATGTTCCTAGGACATAGTTCTAGCAGTGAGATTGCCACACTGGAAGGATGCAAGCTACGTTCAAACCACGGCCTGCGAATGCCGACTCTCCAGCATTTGTCCACACCCAGTTTTATCGTTAAGAAGAAAACAGTAATAACGCATCATTCGCTTGGCACTTGCGTGCACAGACTCTTCGCTTTTCATCTCGAGGTCTCATTTTCCTTGGACAGCACCAAGCGCTCTGCAGGGCCTCATCCGGGTTTAGGGCCGGAAACTGGAGACTATGTTCCTGGCGGCCGGGAGATGGCGCGCGCGGACTCAGCGGCCGCCCAGCAGTCTCCCCAGGACTCAGGCAGGGTGCGCAACCTGGAGTGCGGTTCCGCCCCGCAGCCTCCGTCCCGCTCCGCCCACCCGCCTGACGCCCACCTGGGCTCCTTAAGGCCCACCTGGGCTAAGTTGCTTTCTGCAGGGGTGGGAGGTGGGTGACTGGGCCGGGTGGAGAGGGCCAGTGTGTTGACCCTACAGGTGGCAGCCGTGGGGAATTGCAATGGGGTTTGCTCTGTCGCCCACGGCGCAAGCCGCAGCCCCTTCTCCAGCCTCGCCTCCCTAGCTAGACAGGCGCCCGCCTCAGGCGCACGGCCTCTCCGTTTTTACCGCATTCACTGCTGCTTGGTCTCCCTACTCCGCTCCTTAACATAAACCCGAACCAATGGGCGAGTGCTGAACCCCAACAAACGAGGGCTGAACCAGTGGGTGGGGCGGGGCCAAAGGGCAGGTACTGAGCCACTGGAAGGGGGCGGAACCAATGGGTGAGGGATGGGCTGGGGCTGGGCAGTGGGCGGGGCGGCGCCAATGGAAGGGGGCCAGGCCAATGGGCGAGGCTGGTCAATAGGCGGAGCCAATGAAAGAGGGCGGAATCAATGGGCGAGGGCTGGACCAATGGAAAAAGGCTTTTAGCTTGTGGACTGCTCAGGGGATCAACGGGAGTATTTCCTTTGTCCAACTTCTTTTTTCTGTTTGTTTTTTTTGAGACGGAGTTTCGCTCTTGTTACCCAGGCTGGAGTGCAATGGCGCGATCTCGGCTCACCGCAACCTCCGCCTCCTGGGTTCAGGCAATTCTGCCTCAGCCTCCTGAGTAGCTGGGATTACAGGCACGCGCCACCATGCCCAGCTAATTTTTTCTATTTTTAGTAGAGACGGGGTTTTACCATGTTGACCAGGATGGTCTCGATCACTTGACCTTGTGATCCACCCGCCTCGGCCTCCCAAAGTGCTGGGATTACAGGCTTGAGCCACTGCGCCCGGCCCTTTGTCCAACTTTTGCGTTGACATGACTTGGTACCTACAGAAAAGCTGCAAGAATCCCCAAAAGAGGCTGACTGGGTGGCTCACGTCTGTAATCCCAGTGCTTTGGAAGACCAAGGCGAGAGGATCGCTTGAGCACATGAGACTAGTCTGGGCAAAATAGAGAGGCCATGTCTCTATTAAAAATAAAAATTACAGGTGCGTGGTGTTGCGCACCTGTAATCCCAGCTACTCGGGAGCCTGGGGCGGAAGAATCGCTTGAACCCCTAGGCAGAGTTTGCAGTGAGCCGAGATCTTAGCACTGCACTCCCCCCCCCCCCGGGTGACAGCGAGATTCTGTCTCAATAATAATAGTGATAATAATAAACAGTTTGGGCGCTGTGGCTCACGCCTGTAACCCCAACACTTTGGGAGGCCAAGGCAGGTGGATCACGAGGTCAGGAGTTCAAGACTAGCCTGGCCAATATGATGAAACTCCGTCTCTACTAAAAAATACAAAAATTAGCCAGGCGTGGTGGCAGACACCTGTAATCCCAGCTACTCGGGAGGCTGAAGCAAGACAATCGCTTGAATCTGGGGGATGGAGGTTGCAGTGAGCCAAAATGGCGCCACTGCACTCGAGACTAGGCACAGAGCGAGGCCCCATCACAAAAATAATAATAGTAAAAATAATAGATACATCAATGGAATAGAATCAGTAATCTAGAAACAAAGCACATTCATGATCAAGTGGTTGTCAACAGGGTGCCAAAGGTAGGTCGCGGTTGCTCATGCCTGTAATTTCAGCAGTTTGGGAAGCTGAGGTGGGTGAATAACTTGAGCCTAGGAGTTTAAGCCTGGGGAGGATAGGGAAACCCCGTCTCTACAAAAAATACAAAAATTAGCCAGGTACGGTGGTGTGCACCTGTAGTGCCAGCTACTTGGGAGGACTGAGGCAAGAGGATCCCAGGAGTTTCATTGAGGGTGCAGTGAACTGTGATCTCACCATTGCACTCCAACCTCGGTGACAGAGGGAGACTCTCAAAAACAAAACAAAAACAGCATCTCGGTGGGGCATGGTGGCTCATGCCTGTAATCCCAGCATGTCCACACAGAGAGTTTGATTGAGGGTGCAGTGAACTGTGTGTAGGGCCATAGCCCCGCAGGGTCGTGGAGTGTTCCCTATCTGTGCTGGGGCGCTGGATCGGAGACGTAAAGAGACGAGACACAGAGGACTGGAAAAAATAGCTGGGCTCGGGGGCCACACCACTTACAAGCAGAGGCAGGCGAGGCCCAGAACGTCCAGGAGCATCTGCATTTATTGGGTACAGACAGGGGGAAGGGTAGTGAGTGAGGTCATCTTAAGGACAGTGATAGGGTTGAGACAATCACGTGGGCAATAAACAAGGGGTCCACTCCCATGAAGTCACCTAGGCTAGGAGGTGGGCAGTGTGCAGCAAGGGGTCCACCCCCATTAGGTCGCCGACGCTAGGAGGTGGGTTGTGTGGGTGAAGAGTGCAGTGTGCAATATCTCTTGTCTAGCGGCAGTCTATTTCTAAGGAATTCTGTAGGAGGACACTCTTTTTTTTTTTTTTTTTTTTTTTTTTTTTTTTTTTGAGGTGGAGTTTCGCTCTTGTTACCCAGGCTGGAGTGCAATGGTGCGATCTCGGCTCACCGCAACCTCCGCCTCCTGGGTTCAGGCAATTCTCCTGCCTCAGCCTCCTGAGTAGCTGGGATTACAGGCACGCGCCACCATGCCCAGCTAATTTTTTGTATTTTTAGTAGAGACGGGGTTTCACCATGTTGACCAGGATGGTCTCGATCTCTCGACCTCGTGATCCACCCGCCTCGGCCTCCCAAAGTGCTGGGATTACAGGCTTGAGCCACCGCGCCTGGCTAGGAGGACACTCTTGAGTCAGCATAGTAGCAGAGCTGACCAGGTCTATTGCCACCTGCCGGCAACTTCCAATGATTTCTATAGGAGGGTGCTTTTGACTGATAAAGAGCTCATAAAGTTCACAGTCACCGAGGTGTAATTATACTTTAAGCCGGAGGCTCACGGTATTGCTGGTCTGAGGGCAGCCTTCCACAAGAACTGGACACAAGGTACTACAACTCCTTTTTCAGGATGAGTGGCTCTTGCTCCAAGCCTGCCATACAGTGGGCATCTTTACTATACTGAACGCTGCCGCCTGGGCCATGTTCTTGTCCTGGTGTAACTATTTTTCCTTAAATCTTGCTCTGCAGCATGTCTGCTCTAGACATTCCTCCGACTATAAGCAAGATATGCTTATATATGTATAGCTGTTTATCCCTTAATTCATGCTCTGTACTGTGTCTGCTCTAGGCACTCCTCCAACTATGAACTAAGATATAATTGTGTATATATATATATATGTATGTGTGTGTGTGTGTGTGTGTGTGTGTATGGAAATAACTAGTATGATATTCTTCAGACACTAATTCTATAAACTAATATATGATTGTATATAAAGGATCATATGAAAGAAATAACTGAGTAATAACACTGAGATATTCTTCAGGCACTAATTGTGCCAGGATCTGCTTAGCTCTCCTTCCTCAGTGCCCAGATGGAGGGTTACCCATACT